TTGTCCTGACCTTCCTGGCAGTACCTTCTGTTCCTCGCACACGTCTTTACTCAGGGGCACCTGCATTTCATCCTGTCTCACCAGCTGTCCTGAGCCTCCTGCAGACTCCTTGCTCTCTGCTCCAACCCTGAATACTCAGCGTGCTTAGCACTCGGGCCTGGACCATATTCTAGATCCTACCCTTTCTTTACTTGATTTCCTCTATTCCCATGTATTTTCCTAAAAAGATGCTAAAACCTTCCAAATCTTAGTGCCGGGCCTTTCCTCTGATTTCTCTACTTAACAGGCATTTTCAACTCAACATGTCCAAAGCAGGGCTTCTGAGCTGACCTCCCAAATCCACTCACTCTCCCTCCCCGTCAGCATGGCAACACCATCTGCCCAGCTGCTGACACCAGTCCCAAGTCAGCGTCACTCCTTCCTTCCCCTCGTGCTCCACAACCAGTCAACAGCAAAGCCCAGCTACCAAATCTCGTCTCCTGGCCATTTCTGCCAGCACCCCCCAGGGCCATTGGTTCTCACCCGATGACCACAGAGCCTCCTAGTGGCTTCTCTATTGCACCTTTGCACCCTTCTGTCAGGTTTTCACAGAGCAGCCAGAAGAACTTTACACTATGGCAAGTCACGTTACTATCCTGCAGCACCTTCTGCCTGCGCTTGGGATCCATTGCGTGTGGTCTTCCTTTCACCTGCACGCTCCACCTGGCCCCTGCCTCCCGGTTTCCCCCTCAAGTGCTGGAAACCTACCCAGTCCTCAGCACACACCACGCTTTTCCCCACAGCACAGCAGTCGGTTCCCTCAGTGTGTGATGTACTTCCTCCACTCAGCTACTGCTCCTTATTTCAGCTTAAATGCCACCTCCCCAGAGAAGCCCACCCATTGAATCAAATGTCCCAGAGTCATGACATCATAGCGCTTCGTCATTTCCTCCATGTTATTCATTGCAATCTATATTGAATTTTAAAAAATCTGCACAGTGACTATCACATCACCCTATGTATTTCCTTCATGATAAACATCACAATCTTGTTTTCAAACATCAGTCGGGCCCCCCCTGCCCCGGATGTCTCCTTACAGCCCTCTCCATGCGGTGGTGGCTCGCTTGTCACTTACCTGAGACAAAAGGAAGTGCACGCTGTATTTCTGAAGCTGATGTTGAATAATACTGTGTGTCAACTATAATTATATACACATATAGTCACGGGACGTGGAGTAGAGTGTGGTAATAGAGTCAATGGAATTGTAATAGATAAGTATGATATCAGGGGTGGGAGGGGAGTAGATGGGGGGAGGGGGTTTGTTACTTTGTGAGGGTGAAAAGGATAACTAGTGCATTGTTCTGTACACCTGAAACTAATAACAAAAAATAAAAAGGCAGTGCACACACTTCTCTACTTGATGAGTTGGCACATGCTGTCCCTGAACAGAGTGGTCACTCTGACTTGTCGACTGCCATTACGTAGCACTTTACAGGACCATCGGGTACACACGCAGGCACAGGGGGCAGATCCCAGGTTCTGAGGCCTCGCAGACCCCCAGAGGGCCAGTGACTCAGAGAGCACAGCCTCCTGCAGGGACAGGTGCTGACCTCTGCCGGTGGCTGCGTGGGAGCTGGGGCAGGTGCTAATCTCCCACTGAGTGGGGTGCTGCCCTTCTTGGGGACCCAGGGACACGTGGATGTGGAAAAATCTGAGGCACCATTAATGATGCCCCTCACCACGTCACGAGCCCTTTTCCTGACTACTCCCTGTGCCCCGTCACCGAGGAGCACAGCAGCCTCACCTTTGAACCAATGCAACCTGGGGTCTGTGTGACTGAGGAAGTCTGTCCCCATCCAGGCACTTCATCTGCCCCCAGCACTGGTGGACAGATATGAGGTCGTGACCAGGAGCACAGGGGCTCCCAGGTGCCCAGATCACACACACCACAGTCACCTGCGTCTAGTCTTCAGGTGAGTCCACAAGAGGGGGCTCAGCTCACACTCGTCTGTAAGGAAACATCCGCCAGCAAACAGAGCCCAGCACAGAAGGTGGAGGGGTGCGACTTGTCCCTGTGTGACCTTGGGGAACCACTCAGCCTTGCTGTGCCAGTCCCACCCCCAACCCCTCACACGGAGAACACCACCTGTTCCTCTCTGCCTCCCCAGACTAGGACAGAGATGAAACAGTCTGCTCCCCTCAGCTGTCCTCAGGTCCCCAGGGCAGGCTGCACAAAACCATGCAAGTACAAAGAACAGTCATTTCTGCAAATTCCCTCTCTGTTACTGTACATTTATAGTTCACTTCTTTGGTATGAAGATCATTCAGTTCAAGACCAAGAGCAAGACAGGGGTCTGAGGTGGAGGAGGCTTTTGCGGCCTGCAGCCTGTGCGAACAACAGCAAAACAAGGGGCCCTGATGCGAAAAGCCCTCACGTGCAAGACTGGAAACCTGGTCTTCCAGATGGGATTTGATGGCGATACCAGAGCCAACAAACCACAATAAGTGTTCACGTTAGTGGAGGGATCGGAATCAGACCAGATGGGAGTCACACAGTAAATGTGTGATTGCATGGAGTCCTGGTTTTGTTCCAAAAAAAAAAAAGTTGGGAGAAGGCACAGTGAGGAAGCAGAGTGGGGTGGCAAGGGCCCAACCTGAAGCCGGGTGTGGTCCAAGGGGGACCAGGTCAGGGGCAGGAGCCTAGAACCAGTGACTGAATGTCACGAGGCACCTTCCTGAGGGGTGGCTGGTTCTCATGAAGAAAAGCCACTGCTTAGCCCCTGCCCCTCCCCCCGCTACCCTGCTCTCTTGAATCGGGATGCCAGGCCCACAGACTCCTTTTTCAAGGGAGGAATATTTCTGGAAATGCTGAGAAGATTCCCTTAACTGACTTCGGCCACTAGCTTGGCGGTGATTTAATACTGTCAAAGAAGGTGTTAGTTTCCACTTCATTTTTGAAAATAAAAACAACCCCAAACCTAAGCCCTCAGGTGTGGGTATCAGATACCCTCATGAAATGATGATTGCAGTGTCTGAGCTATATTTACAGTGTAATTGTGTTATCGTCCTTTCTCCGATAGACCTGTGATAGCCCTGTGGGTTCTTTCTTGGCTCCACATATCTGGGTCTTGATTAGAAATCCATGCTAACCAACTTCAGGCTGGTTATTGGAAATCCATTGCAACTGACAGAACAAATGAAATCTCTTTTGTGTTGAGTCAGCAGAACCTGCATCCCACTTGTGCCAGCAATGGCCTCTGAGGTTTGGGGAATTTGAAAAATGTAGGGGCTTCGATTACAGACACAACATCCAAATGGATTCCCATAGGAAGCAGGGAGTGGATTTGCATCCCAGGATTCCATGCTTCTGGCACAGTCAAGTCATTAGGATTCTGGGGGGCATTTTTCTCGGCTGCTTCTCTCTTCCCACCTCAAGTCAAACAATTACAATTTAACCACACAGCCAGAGGCACTGGCAATGTAAAAACAGAGCTATTACAACTCGGAAGGAAAGATAAAAAGTGACAGTGAGTAAGTCAGGAAGGCAATGTAGCTCCCACAGGCAGCTTTCCATCCAGTCAGCCTGGAGGTCACACTATAAACTAAACTGCCCTGGCTCCTGGCTGGATCAAGAGAGAGCTGTCTGAGTGCAGACTGCAGCCTGCTCCTTGTGCCCCAGATCCCCAGAAATGATGGGAAATGTGTTTTTAAAAAAAATCCTCAAGTGTGTTAGAAAGCGAGGATTGCTTTTTGTGTACCAGAGACCGTGAGCAATCATAGAAAAGGAAAGGCAGTTTTTTTTCTTCCTGAAAAAGGGAACCACAGCTCAGTATGCTCACAGAAGGAAGGTGCTTGTACAGGAGGAAGGGGACTCAGAGGGGCTGCAGTCAGAGGTACTGGCCAGCAGGCCAGGAGGGGACCAGGTGCTTGGGTCCAATAAGCAGCCCCGAGCGCTGTCCTCAGCCAGGAGGAGCAGAAAGCCCAGGTGAAACAGCCACACAACTCAATTCTAAAAAAATTTACAGATGAAGAAACAGTGTTAATCCAGCAGACAAACGAGTATCTTAGAATCAGTATAATATCCTGAGAGGGAGCCACAGGATATCCTATCATTAAAGAAATGATACATTTCATCACCAGAATAAAAATCTCAACATATGAGCCAAACACCACAATGGACACAGCAGAAGAATAAATCAGTGAGCTGGAAAACAGCTGAAGAACCTCTGTAGCACTGCCCTGTCGGATGGGACAGCCACAGCCACACGAGCTACTGAGCACCGGAAGTGCTGGCTAGTTGTAATCTCAGATGTGCTGTAAGTGTAAAATATGTACCAGGCTTTGAAAACTTAGTAGAAAGAATAATACTCATCGTCTCAAATATATCTTTTAAAAATACTGATTACAAGTTGAAATGTTTTGGGTACACTGGGTATATATAAAATATGTTATGAAAGTGGGTTGCACTTGTTTCTTTTGACTTTTCTAAGCTGGCTATAAGAAAATCTAAAATTACATATGTGATGGCATTACAGTTCTAGTGGACAGAGCTGCTCTAGGACAGAATGCAAAAGGATGGGGAGAGTAAGGCAAGTTAGATGCGGAAGACGGGTGAAGATGCCTGCTTTGATTGGTACCATGTAACATGGTCCTGAAGGTTCCAGCAGACGCAATAACACAACAAAAAAAGGAAAGAAAGAGACATTTTCTACCTGCCGGTGAAATGACCACCTATATGCTCTCCCATCACTCCATTTCTGAAAGACCTGGTGTCAACCAGGTTTCTCCATGTCTGGTCCCCAAGGAATGGACCCATTATTAAAGAGGCAATCGAGTTCCTCACCAAAATAAAAAACTCAACATGTAAGTCAAACACCACAATGGATGTGGCCGAAGGTTCCCCTTCCGGGGCAGGCCTGTAATGATCTAGGAAGCGCTGACCTGCACAGGCAAAAGAACTTAGAACAAAGCCGTCACCCATGGACTAAGCTGCTCATCGGGGTCACGGGGAGGGTGCTTACCGACGGATGGCACTGGCAAACTCCGCAGCCAGCTCACTGTCGCTGCACGTCGTCCTGAGTTCGGCCAGTGACAGAGCTGGGGAGGCAGCGTCAGCACACTCCTGAGGACAGCAAACACATTCATGTTAGACCTGGGGCCAAGCCTGAGGACCTCGTAAGCGCATGTCTGCTCTGTGCCTGGGAGGTGACAGCTGCAGCTCTGCCCCAGGTATCCGCAACCTCCGCAGGCTGGCCAGCGGGCAATGATGCGTCCCTGCGTGTCCTGAACACTCCCTGGGAGCCAGGTGCTGGTCTGAACGCTCACACACACCTCCTCTCATTTAACCATCGTGAGGACCCTTTGAGGCAGATACTATCATCATCCCCATTTTGCCAAGGAGGAAACTGAGGCACAGAGAAGTTACACTGCCCTAAGTTACCAGCGAGGACATGGTGAAACGGGGATTCAAACCCAGGTTGGCCAGCTCCAAGTCACTGCTTTTCACCACTGAGGGAACCTCTCGTTAACTTACAAAAGACAGCTGGGAAATAACATGTGAGAATCCTCAAGCCCCATCCCACATCTCCTGGGGAGAAAAGCAATCTTCTCTACACTTAGGAGCTTTGGTGGGTTCAGTGTAATCATCCGGAAAAGCCAGAAAGAAAGGAAAACAGACGGCGCCTGCCGCTCATGTCTTAGCATTGGCCAGCAACACTGACATCATCTAAACCAAATCCTCTCATTCTACAATGAGGAAATATAAGGGCCAGAACTCCTAAATCCGAAATCGAGTTAAGACAATTCATAAAGCAGGGATCACACGGCTCAGCGTTCTAGACAGAGTGCAGCAGCCATGCTGCATAGTAGAGGGGCCGGGGAGGGTGACACTCATCATATAATTTGCTCAACAGACATTTACAGAGGATTTACTGTACCCCAGGCTTGAGAATGAAAAGCTTGTGATCTGCTGCAGGAGACAGAATGTAAACAGAAAGTTGTATTGTGATAGGATGAGAGCTACACAGGAGTATGACTCCATCACTAGAAGTCCAGTCGACAGGAGGGCACAGTGTCTCCCTCAGCCCTGATACAGAAATGCCACCACGCCTAGGGCCTGTCCTGAGCAGAACATCCGCTGGACACCCTTCCCTCTGCAGTGCCCCCTGCCTGCACTGCTGTCCTGCCCTCCTCCCTACCTAGCTGTTCCGCAGACCCAGCCCCCATCCACCAGCCCGCAGACTCTGTGAGACGCTAACACCCTCTCTCTCTGTATATCAACTCCCGTGTGATGTGAACATTTCCTAAAACCCCTTAAAGATGGGACAGCTTTGTCTCACACCGTGCCCTTCATTGAACACGTCTGGTAATACCTGTTGCATAGAGACAAGAAGTGCAAAAATCTAATACGATTTGGATAAGACCTGGGATCCAGCTTGTTGGCTGGAGGGAAGTTTTAAAACAAGCAGGACCCCAGCCCTATCTATGGAGCAAGAGTGGATGTCCTAGACCAGGGGTCGGCAAACTTTTGAGATGGAAGAGCTGCCAGGGGTCAGCAAACTGTGGCTCGCGAACTGTGGCTCTGAAGTAAAATTGAAAATGAAAATAAAACTGTCATAGTTTCACTTATAAAATTTTACAGGATATTATTCACATAATGGTGATTATGTAAAAAATATATTTATGGCTCTCAAATAATTTTTAAATTGTTGTGAGGGGCAGGATTCACTCTTCCAGGAGTCGGCAAACTTTTGAGACGGAACGTACCCAAAGAGCTGCATGTGGCTCGCGAGCCGCAGTTTGCCGACCCCTGTTCTAGACCCAAATCTGGCCTGCCACCTGGTTTTAGAAGGCCCACAGGCTAAGAATAGTTTTTCTATTTTTAAAATTATGAAAAGACATTCAAAAGACCGATTTGTGAAATGTGGAAATTATACGAAATTCACATTTCAGTGTCCATAAATAAAGTGCTATTAGAACACAGGCGTACCCATTTGTCTGTATGGTCTCTGGTTTCACAGTACAATTCTATAACAGCCAAGTTAAGTAGCTGTAGCAGAGTATGACCTGAAAACTCTAAAATATTGACTATGTGACTATAGTTTGCCGACCCCGGCTCTGGACTGCTTGTTTCATCTACTAACAAATAAGACCCAATGAGTAGCCCAGAAGGGAGATTTTATTGAAATAGTAAATAGTTCCAATATTTGAAAGATAAGATAATCAGGTTACTCTAACTTCATTACCTGAACAACACAAGGTACTCGTATAAATTAGCATCTTACTCTAATGTAAAAAAAAAAAAAATTTTTTTTTAAATCATTTGGCCTTTTCCGTCAGAGATTTCTGTACTTTGAAGCCATCCCACAAAACATGGTGCTTCCCTCAGTCAAAATAAATACCAAGAACCAGGGGAAAATGCTCAGTTCATGGGCCTTCTGGCAAGAATCTGCTGTCCATTGTCACCACACCCTAGGAGCACACATGCAAACACTGAAGCTCTGTCTCTCAGGCTCTGTCCCCAAGTGACTGCTAACGAACTGAAAAGGCCATACAAAGATTTTTGAAGTGTAGGCATGGAGCAGAAAACCCACTTCCCTGAGCCCAGGTACTGCCATCTGAAACAGTACTACCCATTCCGACTCGCCTCCCCGAGCATCAGGCAGATGGTTGCATGGTGCACAGTAACCTCTCCTGAGCCCAAACTGTGTCACATCTCCCCTGGGGCAGACCCTTCAGTTGATTCCGCACTGTCCTCGGGAGAGCGCAGCCGGCTGACCTCTGCAGCCAGTGCATCCTCTGCCCTCCGGGGTGTCCCATCGGCCTAGAGTGCATTCTCCCCTCCCGTGGCTCCCACTCTCCCCTGGGTCTCGGTTCAGGAAAGCTGTCCCAAATCTCCAAATCTGGAGTCTGGGTCCTGCCTGTCCCCTCCCAGCACACTCAGAATTGATCCTCGCTCTCAGGACACTGTGTCACTATGTTACGATCCTCTGTTTGCCCATCAGTGTCCCCCACTGGAATGTAAACTCCTAGAATTGCCCCCAGCACCTTGTCAGGACCCAGTCACATTTATCAAATGAATGGATGCATGAGAAGCAGCCGGGGTCTTGGGAGAGCTGGCCCAGCCGGTGACACGGCCGTGGACGCCCGTGGCTTCTCAGTAGGTGAGACGTGGGCAGGCTGCAGCTGTGGTCCTCTGAGAAGCATGCGTCAGAGTCCCTAGCTCTTTAGGGAGTGACAGTTCACTGCCACATGGCATCAGCAAGTGGCTTCTTCCCCAGGGACGCGACTCTCCTGGAGATACCCTTGCATTCGGGCTGTGAGAAGCCGCTCATTAGGCCATTAGGCCAGCACATGCCTGGGCCTGAAACACACGGGTCGGGAGCAGCTGGCATTTATCAGGAACAGAAAATCCAGTGCACAGAATTTCAGTGCCCTGGAACAGGAAATACAATCCTTTCGAGTCCAGAGCTTTCTTCTCTCTAACACGGTGTTTGGAATAATTCTGAGTTACATAGAGTATGACAGAATAAACTGGGGTTCTAGGAAAACAAGACTCGTGGGTTAATGGTGTGAGTTTGCAAGACCGCACCGCCTGACAGCCCACTCCGTGTGACAGACACCCTTGTGTGTACTCCAGGGCCTGCCTGCCTCCTCCTGTTTCTCAGGCCGCTTCCTGCTTCCCGCTCACTGATGGTAGAAATGCCAACAGAAGTCAAGGAGGCGACACAGAGGAGAGGAGAATGGCCCGTTAGTCAAACGGGGGTTAAATCCCTCTTCTGCCTTTGATTCGCTGTGAGACCAACTCACTTCTCCTGAGCCCCATTTTGCCATCCTCAGAGTTCTGTGATTGGTACAGAAGTGACCCACAAATGATGGCTGTTGTGTGAAACGGAGTAGACGAAGGAGGTGAGACCAGTCTCAGACTATTGGGCAATTGCACAGATCGCTCCCTCGATAAGACGACGATATGTGAAAATAATTTCATCATTATATAAAGTGAGATTTTAAAAAAATGTAGATTTGGTTTCTTTGCACTCAAATGTCACCTTTTAGTTACTCTAGAATGGCTTGCAGTTCCTATGCAAATAAGGGAACCGAGGCCCACGGCGGTGAGTGGCGGTGGAAAAGGACAGGAAGTGAGGCAAGAAGGGAGGCGGAGCCCCGGGTGCCCGCAGCCCCGTGGCCCTACCTTGCCGGGCTTGTCCTTGCCGCCGCTGCTGGTGGAGCCGAGGGACCGCATGCGCTGCTCCTTGTGCTCCTCCACCTCGGACTTCAGGTGCTCAATGTGCACGAGGTAGGCCTGCTCCTGGGCCTCCCGGGTGCTCAGCTTCAGCTCCAGGGCCTTCTTCTCTTTCTCCAGGAGGTAGAGCTGGGCCTTCAGCTCGGCCATCTCCTCCTACGGAGCACAGAGCCTATGAGGCGCCCAGCGTGTGAGGGCAGGGCGGGGCGTGGGAAGGCAGGTGAGCGGGAAGGGGGCCTGCAGCTACAACCACAGACCTGCGGGAATGATCCCCTGGCGGCTGGGGATGAGAGGACGGGGAGGAGACATGACAGCTGTCTCCACACATCTGAAGGACAGGTAGACAAAGCCATGCGCTATGTCACTCCACAGACTACAACTGAGATAAATGGGTAGAAGATACGGGCAAGCAGACTCCGGTTCACTATAAGGAGAACCTTTCTAACAACTGGAACACTCCCCACCCCCACCCATGGGCACAATTCAGTGTTCTGGGAACCAGTATGCAGAGGCTAAGCTTCCGCAGTCAAAGAGGGCATAAGGGAGGGTCGTCCACACAAGGCTGGGTCTGACTAGGTCCTTTCCAACCCCCATTTCCTTTTCCATCTTCCGTGACACCAATCCACATATTTAATCACCCCTGATGGCATCTTTGGTGCCCCGCAGCTGAGCCAGACAGGTGGGGAATGCCTATAGCAATAGAATCACCCCCAGCTCTTATCTACCTCGGGGGCCTGAATGAAATCAATAGAAACAGAGCCCTTCACAGGTGACTACTCATCAGGTAACTTCTCAAAGTATCTTAGAGAACTCAGAGATTTTTGTGGAGAATAAGTAGTGACTCCAAAATGGGACAATGCCATGCAGAGACCAGGAGCCAGATAACAATAACCACCAGCATTTAGTGAGCATGTGACACTGTTTTAAATGTTTACATAAAGTGACCCATTTAATCCTCCCAACCTGAAGTAGGTATTATGAGTGTCTCCATTTACGGACGGGAAACTGAGGTGTGCAGAGAGAAGTCCAACTGCCCACAATTACTGGCTAAATCGTGGAGCCAAAGTATGAACCCAGGTCGTCTAGCTCAGAGCTCAGGCTCTTAACCACCAAGCTATTGTCATCCTTTTCAAGGACTTTTGTCTCCTCACCTCTGCTGGAGGCTGAGACGACCACCACCTGACACCAGGTCAGTCTCTCAGATCTTACTTAAGAGGACTCTTCACGGGGAGGGGGGTTGTTACTTTGTGAGGGTGAAAAGGGTAACTATTGCATTGTTCTGTACACCTGAAACTAACAATAAAAAAAAAAAAAAGACTCTTCACAGCGTGGAGTCACTGCCTTGAGAGGGATTCACCAAGGTCACTGATTCTAAATAGTTATCCCCGAAGTGACCCTTATCTGAGGTAATAAGCCACAGACGTGGTGTGTGCTCCTGGATAAGATAGCTCCGGAGGTAGATATTCTCATCCTCCAATGAGGGGAAAGGCATAGTATACACTATGGCGTGTAATACTCAGGGCTGCGCGGCACTAGACATAGACAAGGCAATGTGCTCAGTGACTCCTCAGAAGAAGACACAAACCTTTTCCAAAGATGAGATGTAAAACCAGAGTGAAAGGCGTTTCCATACACTGAAGCCCTCTTGTCTTTTGCCATTAGAGGCAGGATTATGAAGGTTCTGGAAACATTGCATGTTGGGCTAATGTAGACAGTCACACCCAGAAAAACACATAAATGCAAACTTAAAAGAAGGCAAGATGAATCCATGGGTGCCAGAAATGAAGAGGAAGTGCTCCTTGGGGGAGGTTAGGGGGCGGTAGTGCTGGCCAGCACAGGCTCAGACCAGCTTGGAGATTCCAGGACCTGGGCTTTTAGAACCTATGCAAAGGGCAGGGGACAGAGCCAGAACTGAGGCCCCAGTGAGCCACCCAGGGCTCTCAAAGTGCTGCCTAGAGAAAGAGGCTAGGAGACTTTCTTTCTGGAGATGGGACAATGAAACTTGTCATCACTCAGGCTCTAGGTGGGAAAAGAGAAAAAAGTCTTTTGAGGAAGCTGAACCACACACTTATGTCACGTGTAGATGTAGAACAGGAATCCTAAGCCAATAACAAATACTAATCCTAAACCTCTGAAACCCATGGGGTCCCAAGAGATCTAATATAGCACAGAATCACTGTGTAGAGACACCTACAACTCAGGCCCCACAGGCCCCCATTGAAGACACAAGCTGTCCTGAAGATGAGCTGGTACAAACATTCTCCCCCCAACACGCATGCAAAAAGAAAATGGAAATGAATCATGTTGAGGTAGAATCAGGATTTATGAGAACCAGAAATAACAAGCGAAACACTAGAAGATAAACATTTAAAATAACTAAAGAGATAAAAGAAGAGGAGTCCTAATTAAAGGATAGGCTATTCAAAAAAGAAGAGTGGATTTGAAAAGGAATCAAGTCAATCATCTCCATAGAAACGAAAAGGTGTTTACTAAAGATTATGTACAAAAATTAAAAAACAAGGGCCGGCCGAGTGGCACGTTGGTTAAGAGCTGGCTTGGAATGCCAGAGGGCCGTGGTTTGGATCCCACATATGAGGGCCAGTGACACTGCCCTCCACAGCTAAGATGCTGAACCTGGAGCTGGGCTGCCATGAATCGCCGGCGACGGTGTAGGCTGCAGTCCCCTGCTGCAGTGGGCTGCCATAAGCTACCATTTGTAGCCGGCAGCCAGCGTGAGCGGCCAGCAGCCGCAGTGAGCAGCTGTTCAGAAGCTGGCGACTGATCTGCCTCGCCCGGGAAGAGCACAATGATGGTGCCAACTTGGGCCAGTGAAGCAACGTCTTCCACAACTAGACTGAAGAACAAAAGGACAGCAACTTGTCTGTTCCCCTTCCCCCAATTCCCCAATAAAAATCTTTAAAAAAAAAAAAAAAGTAAAAAAACAAAAGAAACAGAAAACTTGAGTTTCTCAGCAGTTGTATTCTAGAACAAAACAGTGAAATCCAACAGAATCTTCTGCTAATGGATTTGGTACGGGTGAGCAGGCATGCTTGAACATACTCCTAGGGACACATAGGAAAGGGGGAGGACTGAGGTTTACCCTTCAAAACACTCACAGGAAGGGAAACAGGAAATTGAGCCAGAACGCTAGCAAAGGCTGCCCCTGGATTATGATATTATGGGTTATTTCTATCCCAGCTTTTTATAACTTCTACTCTTTGAAAAAATTTCTATGATGTGTACACATTTTATTTTCAAGTTGCAAAGGGAATATTAGTGCTTTTATTCTACTGAAAACGTCTTTCCGGGCCTGAATAACACTGAATTTATCACACAACATATTGTCCTGAATATAAAAAGGAAATTCTTAGTCTTTGGCCAAAGGAAGGGCATGTTTGGAATAAACAATGAAAGGGCAGCCTCACAGCTCATGCCACAGGTGCAAAGGTCCACAAAGAGGGCTCCTGATTGGGGGAAAAAGGCACTGAGATTAAGGCCCCACTGCTCGGCTCATGGGCAGTGAGAGGACAAATCAGCCAACTGTACATGAGGTTCCCCACAGGGAGCAGAAGTCAAGTCTTAGCTCGGTGGGTGGGACTGAAATAGGCCAACCTGGAAACAAAGGGGTGATTCCTGCACCTGTTGCTGCTGCCCAGACTCTTTCCAGCCTTCCTGAGACTCAATCTCGAGCAGCCACCTAGGGCAGGGATGTGCTGAGCAAGTCACCCTGGGCGTGTCGGGGATGACCGCTGCTGACGGCTCCTCTCCCCTCTGTGAATGTGGTGTAACCAGAGGTGGGCCTGCTTTCTTCTGAGGACAGTGCTGGTGCCAACAGGAGAGACCATTTACCAACTCTTAACTCAGCACCACTGTGACCCCCCCCTGGGCCTAAGGGACCTGCCTCCAGTTCCTAAACTGGTGGTGATGGGCTTCAGCCTGAGAGCCCCTCCCTCAGGTCTCAGATCCTGGGAGCCAGGGACAGTGCAGAGCCCAAGGCTGTGCAAATCAGGCGTCTGCACACAGGAGGGCAGAGCTTGGGAACAGGGCTCCCAGGCATGACTCCCCACATTAGCAGGCCCTGTGTGGGCCCAGGCCCTGCGGGAGCAGCCCCTGCAAGTGCCTCCCTCTGCTGTGGGCCTGCTGAGAGCAGACTACAGTGACACAGGGCCATGCTCCTGGAGGGCAGTTATTCTGTTTCCACCCTAACTGGGTATTCACAATACAACTCTGACACAAACTTTCCGTTGTCTTGCAGGACTCTCTTTCCCCAACAAAATAGGATACAAGCCTCCACAGACCACCCTCACTTCAGACACCAGCCACAATTTACATGCTCACCAAGCAGGAAGCCTCTCTGAGTTTTAGTATGTAGAGTTTTTATTGGGGTGTCTGTCATGACATAGCCATGATTGATTAACTGGTTGGACATACAAAAGAACTCTATCTCCAGATATCCTCCCCTTCCTGAAGGTCAAAGGGTTGAAAGTGTCAACCCTCTAATCCCCTGCTTAGTCCTTCTGGTGACCAGCCCCCATCCTGAAGCTCTCTGGGGACCTACAGTGAGTCACCTCATTAGCATAACCAAGAGACTCCTATCACTCTGGAAATTGCAAGGGTTTTTGAAGCTCTGTGTCAGGAACTAGAACAAGTACCAGATATATCCTTTTTCATGCCACAGCTGTCTTCTGAGAACACATATAGCCGGTGAAGGCCTAGTGCTTGGCACCCTTGGCCAGAAATGAGCAAAGTGTGTCCTGCTGAAGGGTGGCAGTTCAACCACTTCCCGATAGGAGGCACCAGCTTTCCAAGAAAGCACCCCATCTTAGAGATGCTAGCAGCTAACTCAGCCTGCCGGGCAAGCAGCCCAAGATCTTATCAGGAAACACTGACCTGAACAGCACTAGCAAACCTCACTGAAGGGTTTTATGACGTGAGTGGGCTCCAAATGGCACCAAAGAGACAAGAGTGTCAGGAAACCAGGGCTCTCGTCCAATCTGCACCTGGCCTCGCCTTGCCCACCCCACCTCACATTAATATCCGCAGAATGAGCTGCCAAGAAGCACTCGTAAGTTTCTGGAAATTGGGTCCTTTTGATGGGCTACTCCAGCCTGCAGAGGTCTGAGATGGTTTCTCTTAGACAATGAGATGTCTCAAAGCTGGGCACCCCGGGGCATTCTCTGGAGTTCAAATCACCCCTCCAGAAACACGTCCAGCCCAAGTGACCCCTTGACATTGGAACTGTCCTCGTCTACAAATGAGGCTCTGGTTTTCCTCTGGGGAGATGCGGCTGAAGACAGATGGGGCTGATTTCTCATCATCGGGTGACCCGCTCTCAGGGCCTGTTTCTACAGGCCTTTTCGCGAACAGGCCCCTGCCCATAGGGATACCTTCATGGCCATCAGCTCCTGCATCAGCACGGCGTTTTCGAGATCCAGCCGCTGGCTGTCTCCCCGGGGCTTGACGTCATAGCTGAGGGGATCGATGTGGATGCTTTCCAGCTCCAGCATGGTCAGCTTGACCGCGGCCCTGTCGTTCTTGAGCTGCTGGATATAATCCTTCAGCCTTTGCTCGTCTTCCTTAGTAAACTCTGTATCGCAGCTACTGGCCGTGGAGCTGGTTGTGCTGAGGAGAAACACAAGGAAAACCCATCACATTTCCAAGTCATTGCTAGCAGGTCCTTTGTCCTCCCTCTTCTCCAGACCCCAATGCTCCAATGATACGTAGATGGAAGTCTAAAAAAAAGAAAGCATTCTTCATGGCGCAGTGAATTGACACCACCTTTTAGGAAATAGATATGAAGAATAACAGAAATGTTTACACCCTTTAACACAACGGTGTGAACGCTATGAATTAATTCTACGAAGTAATTCCACGAAAACAAGAAGATGCACACATTCAAAGATGTTTCATGGAATGTAGGCTTTGGTGAATTATACTACACAGCAAAAGAAGGGAAATTATATGGACATTACAGTAACAATTATGACAATGGTGGAGATATTTTAAGTGAGGAAATAAGATGAAAAATCATTCATGTGTAATAAAAATTGGTGTATATGTGGGCAGGACTTTAAAAAAGGGCTATATTAAAGGGGACAAAGCAAGGTGAAAAACAAAATACCTATGACATGACAGTAAATGGCCTGCCTGGTTAAGAGGCTGGAAACTGGGGTAACTGGACTCAGGCCACAGCCTTCTCATTCCACAGCCCCATCTTCCCAACATTCCCATTACCAGGAGCTGTGCCAGGACTGAGAAGTGTGGCATCTACAGGCTCTTGGCTACCCTGATCGCAGGCATACCCTCCTGACCTCACACTAGAATAGGGGTAATGAGGCCCCCAACTCAGCAGATGTAAATCTCCCCACAATCTTGGTGTGACCAAGGTCCATTCTACTCTTATATCTGACATTGATCAAGCTGGCTGTGTACATGAGAAAGAGAACATCTCAGGGCTTGGGGTGGTCTTCAAGTTAGAGAGCAAGGACAGGAAGCTCCTGAACCCCAGAAACTCAATCACCCCATGAAGGGAGCAAGATCAGCTGACCAACACACAATGCCTCTTCAGAAGCTGTGATAGTTAATTTCATGTATCAACTGGGCTAGGTAATGGTGCCCAGTTCCTTGACCAAACAGGCATCTTAGATGGTGCTGTGAACGTAGTTTATGGATGTGATTACTAATTTATTTATTTATTTTTTTTTAGCTGAGCCATCCCGCCACCTGTTGGCAGCTCACGGCTGCTCAGCTCGGGCTGACTCGAACCGCTGTTGCTCAGAGCTCAAACTCTTGAGCGAGCTCTTAACCAACTGAGCCACTCAGCCGGCCCCAGTGATTACTAATTTAAATCAGTAGACTGTGAGTAAAGCAGATTAGCCTCCCTAATGTGGGCAGGCCTCATCTAATTAGTTGAAGACCTTAACATATTGTGGACCAGTGACACAGATTTGCATCTATATATTACAGCTGTGCAAGACGAATAACGCAAATCTGCGTTTTTAACACTGCGTTTTTAACATCTGCAGGTTCTGCTTAGTGCCACTCCACAAGGGGGGATGCTTCCAGAGGTATCACACCCCCAAGCACTACTAGGGTCTTTGATGAGTATTTCCTGAAAATTTCAGCTCACAAAAATAGTCAGTGAATTTGTTATAAATTTTTAAAGAAACACAGTATAAAAGTTGATTTAAATGGTTTAAACCCCATGAACATGCCTTTAAACAATTTAAATGCCCCATCCTCAATGTGTTAAAAGAAAAGACTGGATCTCCCAGGAAAGAGGAAATTCTGCCTCCAGACAGTCTCCAGACTCAAGGCAGCAACATCAACTCTTCCTTCTTGGGTCTTTTGCCTGCCTGCCTGCCTGCCCTGCAGATTAGGACTTGCCAGCTCCTATAATCACATGAGCCAGTTCCTTAAAACCCATCCATCCATCCCCCCCACCCACCAACCCATCCACCCATTTATTCACATACTCGCATGCACACTCACACACACATACCACACCCCACTGGTTCCGTTTCTCTGGAGACCGCAACACTGAGGTGCTACCTTTACCTGTGAGCCCAGCACCTTACACCCTTTGTGGATGCACAGGGAGCATGACTCAACCTCTCCGTGCCTATTGGTAAAATGAAGGCAACGACAGTCCACGCTTCGTAAGGTTGTGGTGAAGATTAAATGTGGCAAAATGTAAGAGTTTCCCATAGTGCCCAGCACATAGTAAGCACTCAATAAATGTAGCTTATCATTCATTCATTTAAGAAATACTGAACTGCCTACTGTGGGGCACTCTTCTAGGCCCTACAAAAGCCCATGTCCTCATGGGACTCGTATTCTAATAGAGGAGACAGGCAAGTAAAACATACAGTACATCAGACAGTGGGATGACCACGGAGAAAAATGAAGCCATTATAGGGAACGCAAAGAGGACATGGGTTGTTCTTTGACATAGAGTTGTAGGGATGGCCTGTAGGATACCGTTACATTTGAGGAGACCTAAAGGAGGGGAGAAAGGAGCCATGTGGGTATTTGTAAGAGTGATCCAGGCAGAGGACTGGGCAAACTTGGCCAGCAAGAATGAGACGGGCTGCCTGGAGCCAGCTCGGGTGTGGGGAGAAGAGGTCAGGGAGGAAGGTGTGTGTAGGAGGAGCAGGCTGCCAGGTCCTGCAGGGCTTTCTAAGCATTCTGGCTTTTTCTCTCGAGTTAGAATGGAAGCCATTGGAGGGTTTGTAATAGAGGAGGGACATGGTCTGCCTTATATGTTAACAGGATCCCTCTGGCTGCTGTACTGAGGAGAGATGCAGGGAGGCAAGGAGACCAGGGGCCATTGCAACAATCCTGGGGAGAGATGGTGAGAGCTAGGAGGGTAGGAAGTAGGGTAGAATTATTCATCATCACTTATGTTTTCTCAAGTTGTATTTTACAAAGGATGAAAAGGGAGACACAGAAGCACCCTGCAGTTGGAACGCTTCAGGTGCAGTAAAGAAATAAAGCGGCTCAAAAGAAGCATGAAAGTGCAAAGAGTACCCGCCCCCCCTTCCCCACACTCAGCAGAGGGCACCGGGAAGCCTGGCGGGGCGTCTGAGGATGACCTCTGCCCAGGAAGAGAGTCTTAGTCAAGTGAGAAAACAAGCCCCATCGCCTCCCCACCACAGCTCCCAGCATCTCAGAGATCCTCAGTAATGACCTAAAGATATGCCTGCAAAGAGCTTTGTGGTAGGCAACACCATCCCAGTAGTACTCAGAGCTCTCCTTCACGGACTGTCAACACTGACATGCTGGGACAGACGTTTAATGTTCCACAGGAAAATGAACAACAAAACGAAAGCGAACTGAAGTGGTGGCATCATCCACAGAGCATTCCACAGGACTGAGTGTAAGATGTGCTCGGGGTGCAGCGTGTTTGGACAGCGTGGCGCTGGGAAATAGCAACACCTCCCTTCCAGCGAGAAGCGGGGAGACCTCAGGTCTGAAATCCTTTCCCGGGAAGCTGGGACTCACTTTACTGCCCTACTCCTCTGTTTCATTAAAAATTTAAACATACAGAAAAACACAGAGAATAACCTTTTCGTCATATTTTCTTTGGACTGCTTTTTTAGAAATATAACATTCCGACTTGAGGCACTGTTTATTGACTTTCACTTAAAAAATTTTTTTTCAAAAGCCAAAGAGCACTAGGAGCTAGAGTTCTCTAATTATTCTGCAGGCACCGAAGTGATAATATTTTGGCAGGTTTTCCATGTAGCAAGGCTGGTCTACCCCAGTGGGTGTCAAAGAGTAGTCACTGGGTTGGCCAGAGCAGCATCGCCCGGGACCTCGTCAGGAATGCACATTCCCAGTCCCCACCCCCAAGACTCACAGGAACTGAAAACTCTGGAGTGGGGCCCAGAAAACTGCATTTTAATTCACCCTCCCTGTGACTATGAAGCACACCCAAGTGTGAGAACAAGTGGCTACCCCATAGAATAAGTGGGCATTTGCACTGTAGCCTGGGAGGTAATGGCACCCTCCCAGATTCTCTAAGGGGAGGCCACTATACTCTTGGGCTGATCTGGGGGGTGCCAGTGGCTTCGAACAGGTCTCTGCATCAGACTGACCTGGGTAAATGTATCTCCTCTGCTGCTGCCCAACTTTATGGCCCCAAGTAAATTACCTATGCTTTCTGGACTGTGGTAAAGCGGGGATACTAATAGTTCCCAAGCTACCAGGTTGTGGAAAAGAGACAGTGGCCCAGAAGCAGGCAGAGCCAGCAAGTGCTGTCATACAGCACTGGGAGAGGAGGAGGGACAGTTATACCAATGGCCCCGCAAGGCCCAACACCACCAGACTCAGGGACTCCCTCTAGGGATGTCAGCCACCGAGCAGGTCACCAGACTGTCCCCTACCCCGCTGTGCTTGACCAGACTTGAGAAACTACCTTGAACTGTCCAGAAGACACGGATGTGGGTGGGCTGAGGCTGACAGGCTTTGGGGTATCCCGGAACCCTCTAGGGCCCGGGGCCTGATCCCAAGCCAGGAGGGGAAGGCTTTTGTTTCATCATCTCTGCTACGGGTCTAGTTTTCAGAATGGATGAAAAGGAGAAAAGAACAAAACATTTCCTTACACAGATCCCACCCATGTCAGAAGCTCAGAACTTGAAAATGCTTTTACCAGGGGAAAGTTTAATGTCAAGATAAGCACCACAGGCCCACAGCCCCTCTGGGTTCTCTCCCCCCGTTCCAGGATACCAGCGGGGAACAGATCAGGCGAGGTTAATTACCATTCTGCTCCGTGCCCTTAATGTTGCAGTGCAGAATATGATTATGACAGTGGTAAAAAGAGGAGAAGCCACTGGCCTTTCCTCTGGTCTCCTGCAGACAAAGGCGCTGCCGTCTCCTGAGGCGTGCTGTCAGTGCTGGGGAAGGGTTAAGTCATCCATTAACTCTCCCAGCTTGGAATGCTGGATGACCTCAGTCAGCAAGAGAGAATAAATCACTTGCCATGTGGGCCGAGTTACTCCTCTTCTCTAGGGTGGGAGGCAGTTAGTGTTTTCTGAGGACTGTGGAAAGGGCTGTGGATAAAAACCAAAAAACAAAAAACCCCAGCCCACTCCAGGATGGTGAAGTTGTGCATTTTTGCA